GCAGCCGTGTCAATCGGGACTCACGGGCTGCACTTCTCCCGGCATCTGGCAATAGTCTTAGTGCGAGATCCATCGGCTCACGTATAATACGTGACACGTATGTCTTCATATTCACGTGTTTGCGTCTCCGGAACGAACCGTACGCGCAAAGACTGCTGTAGAACGTGTTGCAACTTAAGCATATAAACTTGACCCTCTCTTGTGCTCGACGTTGAAACAGCGGAACGATACTCTCCGGGAACGATGGTGCAGGTATATTGATGCTCATACTGAGCAGGTTCGATAGATCGTCAACGTCGACTTCTGATGCTCTCGTCTACAATGGATCAGTATCGATTGGGCGAATGGACACCACCAACCGTAGTCTCGGTGGCCAGCTGTGACCGGGGTCACGCTAGTGAAGATACAGTGCCATGCTAGCAGGCCAACAACATGATCCGTTTTTGACTACCCGCATCGTGGCTGTGGGAGATTGTTGGTGTGAAAGACCGGGGTAGGCGTGGACGGAGCAGAGACCTATTCTAGCGTCGTTTGAAGTCGGTCTGTCGCGTAAGAGATAGTAGCTGCCGATCTGCAGAAGATAAAATTCTGAGACATATGAGTTGTTCGTCCTCTGGCTGCTTCGTTTGCGAGTATGATAACAGTGCCGACGCGCTTCGGCGATGGATGTCGTGCAGGGTGGGCACCGTTCGGAATCGGACACGGGGTGTAGCCGCTCGTGCAGCGTGGCGGAGACCAAGGATATGGTACTGGTAACACAAAGAACCTTTGAAGGTGCTTTGGACGACATTCCTTCGAGAGTCAGCACAAGCACACCCTGACTGTGCGCTCCCATGTGAGCGTCGCCTATTCCGTCCATTTGGGGCTCTTCCGGAATCCTGCATCGACAGGGAAAAATTCACTTACGTCAGCCCTCGAATGCACTCAAGAAACTGCGAGGGAGATGGCCCGAGAAACCCGGTGACAAAATGCGAGAGGTCGGCCGTGGATGACGACTACAAGGTTGCGCCATCGTTGGCGTACACAGGCCCCATGGCACAGTGGGCCACCAAATATCGACTGATGCGTTCCGGTACATACAGCGACGCGCTCTGTTCGCATGTGGAATGGCGTTCATCAACCTTGGGAGCGTAGGACCGCCATGGACGACGTGACGAGGTGGAGACATTCGATCTTTCGTACATAAGGGGTGAGAACGCGTCGGATGATGGTCCAGGGCGCGAATCGAACGAAAGCGCGTACTCGAATGGTTGTCAGCGGTGGTAACGCGCCTGTCTCGCGTTCCTTTGTCGGAGTCATCGCGATGTCGCGTTGCGATGTCGGTTCTGGGTTGCAACATGTGGGGCAGCTCCCTCGGCTTCGAAGGGCCGCCAAGCCCCAAAGAGCGGAAGCGCAGGTGCGGCGAGGAAAAAAATTGTTTATCATGCTGCCCCTTCCCCACTAGAGCGCTCTTACTTTCCAATAACCATGAGCCCAAACGCCATCACCAGCTGGGACAACACTCCCGCCACGCCGCTACGAAGACGCCGCCGCCGCCCACACTGAGAACTCGAGTTGAGAGTAGATGGACTGCTGCTGCATCTAGCGCCCAACGGCCATAACATTATTCTTCCACCAGGATACCCCATTTTTGGAGAGACCTGCCGAAATCTTCAGGAACACCACCAGGCTACGTATGTCGTCACTTGTTCTCTTACCTGCTGCCTACCCAATGTCCCGATGATGATTTTGTCATATTATAAAGATGTTAGACTTGCGATACCCCTTGAGCGCACAACGACTTCCTGAGAGACTACCCCACTTACATATCCCGCGTCTTCCGAATTCTTACCGCAACTGACGCGTCTTAGTAGCATATAAACCTGAGTTTTTACTCCAAGCCTCCCCACACCCCGCCATCACGTCAATATGTGCGGTATCATTGCTGTGATCCACGGCGATCCCAAGTCGCAATCGGCTTCGGTCGAGGTGCATGATGCTCTCTACCTTCTCCAACATCGCGGCCAAGATGCTGCCGGAATAGTCAGTTGCAGTGCTGGTGGTCGCTTCCACCAGTGCAAGGGCAACGGTATGGCGTCGCGTGTCTTCCAGGACGGCGCACGCGTGTCCGACCTCCCCGGCTTCATGGGCCTCGGCCACCTGCGATACCCTACCGCCGGCAGCAGCGCGAACGCTGAGGCTCAGCCCTTCTACGTCAACAGCCCCTACGGTATCTGCATGACCCACAATGGCAACCTCATCAACGCGCCGGCACTGCGCCAGCGACTCGATCACGAGGCCCACAGGCACATCAACACCGAGAGCGATAGTGAGCTCATGCTCAACATCTTCGCCGACGAGCTCAACGAGACGGGCAAGGCGCGTATCAACGCCGACGACTGCTTTGCGGCGCTGGAGAGGATGTACAAGCTTTGCACTGGTGGATGGGCCTGCACAGCCATGCTTGCGGGTATGTCGATATCCAATGGTTTCTGCTATTCTGTCATGGTGTAGATACTAACATTGTCTCAGGATTCGGCCTCATCGGTTTCCGCGACCCGTATGGTATTCGACCCATGGTGCTCGGCTCTCGCAAGTCGCAGGACGGCAAGAGCATGGACTATATGATGGCCTCGGAGAGCGTTGCGCTGGTCCAGTGCGGCTACAAGGACTTCTTCGATATCCTCCCCGGCCAAGCTGTCATCATCGAGAAGGGCAAGGAGCCCGTCTTCAGGCAAGTCGCCAAGCAAGAAGCGTATACCCCGGATATCTTCGAATACGTCTACTTCGCGCGACCTGACTCTGTCATTGACGGCATTGACGTGGATGAGAGCCGACGTAACATGGGCTTCACTCTCGCCGAGACCATCAAGAAGCAGCTTGGTCCCGAGACCATGGCTGAGATCGACGTGGTTATGCCGATTCCTGAGACTTCGATTACTTCTGCGTTATGCGTTGCTGAGGCTCTCGAAAAGCCATACGTACAAGGTTTCGTCAAGAACCGCTACATCTTCCGCACATTCATCATGCCATCGCAACAACTACGACAGAAGGGCGTCCGGGCCAAGCTGAATCCTATGAAGAAGAAGTTTGAAGGCAAGAACGTGCTGCTGGTTGATGACTCCATCGTTCGCGGTACTACGTCGCGTGAGATTGTCCTGATGGCGCGAGAAGCGGGCGCCAAGAAGGTCTACTTTACCTCGTGTGCACCGCCAATCACCAATGCCCATATCTACGGTATCGATTTGGCCTCTTCCTCGGAACTGATTGCCCACCACCGCGACTCAGCAGCCATTGCTAAGCACATTGGCGCGGATGATGTCGTTTACCAGAACCTCGAGGATCTACAGAGCGCTTGCGCACGCCTCTCTCCTCGTGATCCTGCGACGCAAAAGTTCGAGGTTGGTGTCTTCTGCGGAAAATATGTCACACCCGTCGATGCTGGCTATTTCGAGCACCTCGAGAGAATCCGCGGAGAGAGCCGCAAACAAAAGGTCATGGAGAAAGCACGAGAGGCTGTCGTACATGGTACGGCCAATCCTCAACAGGTGCGCATGGCTGCCAAAGGCGTTGTAAGTTGAGAATTGAAAACATTGTTTGCAAGACTCCCTGTGACTAATGCGTATCGTAACAGGAGGTCGACCAACATGGTAACGTCATCCCGTCGGATGGCAATGGGCAACCCGATTGGCACCCAGCCAACGGTGTCAGCCAGACATCCACGAGTGATGCCCTCGCTAACGGTAACGGGGAAGAGCGACGCGTTACCAGCAGCCAGGACATCAGCTTACACAACATGCACGATTACAACTGAGCAGCTACTCAATAGTTGTCAAGCGCTGTGTTCCTACTGCAACACGGATGGCTTTTTTTATTTAGACGATGATGATACACATGTACCAGGAAAAGTTACGAAAGAGATGATCAGGATACAGCGCGGGACTGCCAAGGCGTAGGAGGAGATTTGTGCTCTTCAGAGACTTTCCGAATGTAGATCTGAGTTCTTGGAGGCCTCAAGACTAGGGTCACGCTGAGATCGAGCACGCACCTTTGCTTATGCTCTCTCGCTTCAGGATACCAATCCAACAGTCGTTTGCATAAGCCTTTTGGCCAGGCCTGTCAGCCGGGTCCTTCCGTCCCATTGGTGCACATTTGGTGGCCTCTCTGCACCAACACATGATATCCGTGCACCTTTTCTTACTGGCTGCATTGCATCAATTCACACACGCGCTTAACGTTTCCGAAGACATCACACATCACGTGGTTGACCACCCTCCTTGAGAGTTCTCGCACGCGTACGAGCTATTGTACTAAAGAAAGGAGAAGATGACGAATAAGTTCTGCGCGCACCTGTTCGCTCAATACCGAGATGAGGTATGTAGGGAGTTCACTCAATGCTGAGCTCATGTCTCACACATGACGCCGCTCAGCCACCTACAACTGACGCATCCTCTCAAGAGAATGATTGCCCCGCGGACCGACCTCTTGCAGCAGCGGCCCGCAAGCCACTGAGCATCAATCACATCGACACGAATTGCTCCTATCGACCTATGTCCTAGTAAAGTTCTAGGCTAGCAGACTCCACATCGCCATACTCAGCGATCACACTGGTCAGCGTCGTGCTTACAAAATCGAAGCCACGGCGTCAGGTGTACGAGCAAACTTCCTCATACTGCCCAAAATCTCCAGTCCTTCGCACACTGGCCTGCCGTGAGGCATATGTCTGCCTGTGTCCGGCCACTTGCATGGCAAGCCCATCAGACACGATGATGAATCACATTCGTATTCTGTTCACCGCAACAAGCCACGATGAGCTCCAACAAACGCCTCGAGCGAGACGAGATGACGGGCGAAACCGAAAGCACTGAGGAATTGAGGTATAAAACCTCCAAGGATGGATGTGTTTGGAAGGACAACCACGACAGCATCTTCTACAGTATCACTACATTCAATATCTTTTAGCTCCACCAAAAACCCAAATCTTCAAGATGCAGTTCACCTCCGCCATCGTCGCCGCCATCATGGCCTCAGTTGCCGTCGCTCAGATCTCGCTTGAGAACGTTGCCTCTTGTGCGTCCCTTCCCCATCTACGCAGAATACTGTTCCCACTAACGTCCACTACTCAGTCGAGGCCTACGCCAACGCCGACTGCGCACCCCAGGCTCTGCAGCAGCAGAACATCCACAGCAACGAGTGCGTTTTCCTGCCCTTGCAGAGCGCCCGCGTCTTCTTCTTGGAGAAGACTCGTGCCAACTGCCGCCGTGAGTCGCGACAACGTTTATTGTCGATTATCGTAATCTAACGGGAATAGTCGAGTTCTACACCTCGAACAACTGCACTGGTACACCAACCGATACCTTCACCACTGCCCCCAGCGACTGCATCAATGTGTCGCAGAAGTTCTCTTACCAGGCTATCTGCTCTTAAGCGGGTCATCCCGGTTACGCTTATGATGGAGACCGAGTGACGACTTGGTGATTAGATGGAGAGGAGCTGGCAACAGCGCACTGCTTAGCTGAGAGAATGTCCTCAGACGACAGTCATTACAATATCCTTTCGATCCGACTTACTAGAGCCAGTCCAGTTCGTTGGCCGTGTTCAACACACGGTGCGAGCTAGGCTATATTGAAATATATCGGGTCGCTACTATCGCCGTCTTCGAGTGAAACGTGACCATCGCTAAGGCGTTATGTGATGTGAGCAGGTAGAACAAATGATCCGAGGATTTTGTTTGTATGATGTGCTACTTCCACATAAAGCAAGTGCTTACTGTAAGGATATTTGACCGAGCAATATATGAAAAGAATATCTCTGCCAAGTTCCTTCTACTACAACCCAAGGATTAGGTGAGAGGAAGTCGTCAGGGAGTATGGAGAAGACATTGGTCGTATACTCAAGTCACATGGATATGACCTGGAGATACCAAGACGTCGATGATCGAAGCTCGTTGTCTGCTGTCTCGCTGTTCCCATATTTATTGCGAGAAAGCGCATATAAAGCCACTCCAGATTACACCTCTACAGTTCCATCACTTTCAACACAATCATCGCGATCAACCTGAGCTTATCCACATCTTCAATCATGCGTTTCCTCACCATGACCTTCGCACTCGCAGCGACAACCCTCGCCTCCCCCCTCACGCCCACCCTCCGCAGCCCCGTACCCAATCCCATCCCCAACGCCGGCTCCTTCACATCATGGTCGTGCTCTGAATGCGCTGCCAACAACCCCTGTCTCTCCTTTCCACACGACAACATCGTGTCTGACAAGTGTTATCCGCTTGAACCAAACCAGGCAAGTCTGCAGGTACTACGCATCGCTCTTCGGGGCTGCGAATGTAAGTAAACCTTTGTCCCAGCATGATGACTGCGGTGGCTGATGAGGCGTATAGTGCAACTCTTCGACTCGGTGGATTGTTCGGAAGAGGCCGGTGCGCCGTATGTGCTTAGTGAGCCGCCCACGTGTGATCCTGTGCCGGTGTTTAAGAGGGGGTATAAGATTGTTTGTTAGAGAGGCGGGGTGTGGGTTCTTGGGGGTAGTTGGTAGGTTCGAAGGGCGTTTTGAAGGCTTTTGGCGTCGTTGCTAGCTATTGTTTGCTGGTATGTTAGTCGGATAGAATGAGCCTGGGTTATCATTAGTTCAACACGTAATGATACCAGACATTTAAACTCCTGGGCTTCTCGTGAATGGTTTTCAAATCTTTCGCGTCTTGCGCGTGATAAAGAACTCCCAGCGTGGTGATAAATTCGTTGATGGATATCATCATGGGATCAAGGCAATCTTGCGGATGCCCTGATAACGGAACGATCTCCGGTTCAGTATGATGTTTGTTGGGCGACTACGTTGGTCCGTCTACCAAAGCATACTGATCTAAATTCAGTTACACAGCGTTCAGAGTTTGTCGCAACACCAGACCTTGGGTTTCAGCGTTGCTGAAAGAGTTGCAAGGGTTTGCGTTCATGTCGGTGATGACGCACGGAACTACCTTCTCCCTTCGCATCCATCATGGTACTTTCTCGTGTCTTTATTAAATTCTGGCCGCTCACATAGCTTGAACCCTGAAAACAACTTGTTTGCTACCATTGAAGCGGCTCCGAGAACGAAAGCTAGTTCTGTATGACTGTAGGTGAGTATGCCAGAGATCGAGTTTGATTCTACAGCTGCGAGAGCTAACGCTTTCCACACCCTCTTGTTCGAGTCTGCAGCTGGGGATTTGCCGCAAGGTGACTTCTACGCTCAGACTGCATGAAATTCAGGACCGACGCCAAGAATCCGTATCGCAGTTCATCTCTTATCACCACTCCGACTTGCGATCCGAAAGTTTCGGGGTTGGGTAAGCATTTGGTGGCATCGTCCCCATTGCCCCAAAGGCGTAACTCCAGGCCGCTGCACATGGGCCCCAACAAACGCCACACTTCCATCCCCACGGACTCGGCAACAAGTAGCCGCTAAACGAAAGATCTGTAATGCGCATTACGATCGGACAAGACTCGCGCCAGCCTCTGAGAATCAGGTCATTGAAAGGGCCGAACAGTTCGGTGATGTAGCGCAATCATCGGACGGGCGCCCCGGCACCACCTACGTCATGGACTCCTCGAGCAGAGCCGCATCCGCATTGGGGTCAGGAACAACGTCTTTTGCTCCACACAAGCGGCGTCTGGCACATGGAAATCCATATCATTCCGACACGTTCCAGACGCACGTCTCACTATTGCGGACATTTCGGCAGTCCTGCAACAGCGGTGGGATGGTTGGCCGATGCTGTCCGAGGCGTCCTCTGGATTTCGCAGCTCAATATTTCTTTTACAATGTGCAGGTATAGGCTGCATGCTGTGCCGACAACGCGTAATCGCGACGATATAGCCTACATTAATCAGCTGCATCACAGCTGACAACACCTCGAAGATGCAGCATGAGGAAGCGACTATACCGGAATCGGCAGATCTCGAAATTGTCATGCTGGAGATGCGACCCACAAAACCACGTTTTCTAGTGGCGGTCGACGCACCCAATGTGTAAGGCACGGCGATATCCAGACCCTGGACCCAAAGACCCTGTGCATTATCAATACGCGACGTCATGGGGGAGAAGTTTTCGAACGTAGCTCCAGCGACATTCATGGCACATGTAAGAATGAGCTGTAGGTTGGCTCTAATCATATATAACAGTAAGTCGCGGTAGTCTTTGTGAACATAGCAATCAACTTCACATCAACTTTCATCACTTTTGCAACAAGATACCCAAAAGTTTTTCCATTACATCACCTTTCAACGTATACTACATCACAACACACCACCATCAAGATGCCTTCTTTCACCGTCTACAAGGGCTCCAAGGAGAGCAAGATTGTCAAGTCGCAAACCACTAAGCCCGACCTCGAGAACGACCAGGTTCTCATCAAAGTAACCGCCTCCGGTCTCTGCGGAACCGATGAGCACTACAAGGGCGCCGACATGGCCCTCGGCCACGAGGGTGTCGGTGTCGTAGAGGAGCTTGGACCCAACGTGCAGGACTTGAAGAAGGGCGACCGCGTTGGATGGGGTTACGAGCATAACTCCTGCGGCCGCTGCGACAAGTGCCTCACAGGCCAGGAAACCTACTGCAGCGAGCGCCAAATGTACGGCATGGCCAACCTCGACCAGGGCAGCTTTGCTTCCCACTCCGTCCAGCGCGAGGCCTTCGTTTTCAAGGTACCCGATGAGCTCACCGACGCCGAAGCCGCACCCCTGATGTGCGGTGGAGCCACCGTCTTCAACGCTCTGCACACCTACAACGTCAAGCCCACCGACCGCGTCGGTGTCATGGGTGTTGGCGGTCTCGGCCACTTGGCCATCCAGTACGCCGCCAAGATGGGTTGCGACGTCGTCGTCTTCTCCGGATCCGAGAGCAAGAAGGACGAGGCCATGAAGCTCGGCGCAAAGGAGTTCATCGCCATGAAGGGCAAGTCTGAGATCAGCGTCAGCCGCCCTGTTGACGCTCTCCTTGTCACCACTTCTGTCATGCCCGACTGGAAGCTTATGCTCCCTGTTCTCAACAACAACGCCATCATTTTCCCCATGACCGTTTCCGATGACGACTTTGCTATCAACCACATGGCTCTTATCGCCAAGGGTATCACTGTTCAGGGCTCTGTTGTTGCCGCCCGCGCTGTTCACCGCAGCATGTTGGCTTTCTCCGCTCTACACGGTATTAAGCCTATCACCATGGAGTTCCCGCTTACTGAGAGTGGTATCGAGGAGGCAATGGCCACCCTCAGGGATGGAAAGATGAGGTACCGTGGTGTACTCAAGCCCCAGTAGATGGATGGCTTTGGATGGAAAGAAGGTAATGGAAAGGTTAATGAGCGGTGTATGACTAGTAGATACCGATGATAGACTTACGAATCTCATTTGTTTGAACGTATATTATGTCTTTCTTTGAACGTGATGGCTTTGACAGAAGGGAATTTTGTACTACTATAAAGGTTTCGAGGCATTGTGGTTCGCGATGATTCTTTACATGTGTCTAATGTCCCGAAGGTTCAATGTAGTATGCCAAGGCCTCTACAGCCCTCTTAGCAGACTCATGAATCTCCAGCCACGGGTATCTAATAGCCCAAGTCAACGCAAGACGTCCATCTATGCTGGAAACAAGCGGATAAGCACCGGTAGAATATCCCTCGGCTCCATCTTCTGCAAAGCCGAAATAGCAGATCTCACATCCGTAACCAGTGTACCTTCGACCTCAACCACTGCGCTCTTAACCCCCTTTCCATCCTGTCCCCTCGCCTCATTGGTCTGCGGTACGTACGGAGCCAGAAGCGCTTGCAACAGTGCATTACCACTATTTCCTTCGTCTCCTCCCCACTCAGGCAACACCATGTTTGCCTTATCGACATTCCCATCCTCGCTCTTCACCTCCTCAGCACGCACACCCATCTCCCTCTTCCCAGGCACCACCCCACCAACAAACTTGCCAACCTTTCTCTCGTACCGCTCCCTACCCAACTGTGACTCTGCAACACGCAACTCAGCCTCCCACTCTTTGCTCAGCTTCTTCATGGCGTTCTTGAGCAGTTTCTTCTGCGCACCGCCAAACACGGTGAATAATTCCCATGGTCCGGTTTTCCATGTCAGGATGAAGGACTCTCGGGCGGCAAAGCTGGAGGTGGGTGTGTTGTGGTGTTCGATGACGGCGGCGAGGTATTGCTTTATGAAACGAATGGCAGCAGGAGGGATGGGTGCGTGTGTGGGAGTGGTAACCCGTCCGGGGCGGTAGGAGTCTATGGTTCCACGACGACGATCGAGTACTCCTGCTTCACTGTATGCAGAGTTACTCTGGTCGCTTGACTGCGAGTGTTGAGCTAACAGCGCAACGAAGATCGCGGTGTTCCACCTCATGGTGTCATGGAAGCGTTGGAAATGGTGCGTTTGGTCGAGTCGGTAGAA